CGCTGACAGCGTTCAATTAAAGCATTAACGCTCAGAAACGTTGGGCTCAGCCAACGGTGTGTCTTTCCTTTTGCTTGTTTGTTGCTAAGCAACACAACTTTCACCGTGTTTGTTTCTAAAACGTCCTGGTTCTAATGATGAGCTGCTCCTACGATGAACATCCACAGGAGGATTTGGGCTGATGTTGACAGGAATGTTGATGTGTATGAAGGGAAAATTACACCCTTGGACCGGGACGCTCGGTGTGAACTTCTGATGAACACACAGTAAATCTGAGATAATGGCCCTCAGAGCAGAGTGCTTACATTTCCCCGCGGTAATGATTTTTTCCTCTCCGCTCTGTCATTGGTCCACACGCGGCACGAGCCGCTGTTTCATAAGAACACGACAACTGCAGACAAGTCCGAGCCGCTTCGACGACTCTGTGCATTCTGATCCGGGGACGACGACTGAAAGAATTTAACGAAAAAAAAAACCTCATCTCAATCCCACGACAGCAGCAGCGGACGGCGCTCGCTGTCACATGACCTCCACTCACACGTGATCATGATTAACAAAACTGACAAAAGGTTTGTTTGAAGAGGAGAATTCATGAACCCAACTCCGCAGTAACATCTGAACTGCTGTCATAAATAATAACGTGTGAAGTCGTCGTTTCCTCTCTGGGAAAACACAGAAAAACAAATACATGTGTTTCATAGTCAGTGGGGTGGATGTGTGTAAGGGGGGGAGGGAGGGGGTGACACAGGATTCTTAGCGTTCATTAAGTATCACAGCCTCAAACTCCTGTGGTAAAAAAAAAAAAAACTGTAGACCTTGAAGTTTTAATCTAGAATTAATCTGCATTAAATTACATTAAATTTTTTTTCAATTTCTTTTTTTTTACAATTTTTGGGATGAAAATGCAACGTTTAGTAAGTAATTTTAACATAAAAATATGACGACCAGATGACAACAAATCCGTTCACTGAAACTAAAAACTACATTTCAAAGACAAAACTCCTTCACACACACTTTTTTTTTCTTTTTTTCCTGCAGCCTGTTGGAGAACAGAACACACAGTGTGTGTGTGTGTGTGTGTGTGTGTGTGTGCTCTGGACTGCTGTGCTCCACTGCCTTAATGCACACTGGAATGTCAGAGGGAACAGAACTTGTCATGAGCAAAACGAGGTGTGTGTGTGTGTGTGTGTGTGTGTGTGTGGTCACTGGGTCACTAAGTCATGGGACCCTCTCTGATCTCCCAGAACTTGTGGGCCCGGCTCTGAGGAAGCACTGTACCAGGATGTGGCGGGGCCACTCCTGTGCAGCCTGACCTCCTCTAATCTTCCGTGTCATCCAGAGACCTCATGGCCTCCCTTCATCAAGAGCTTCTCTCTGCCCTCACAAAGTGTGCTCATTCACACCAGTCACTCTAGTCCAGAACATAATGACTCAGACTCAGAAAGGGGTGGGGGGGCTGGGGTGGAGGGGGGTGGGGGTTTACACCAACTTTTTTCTGGGGACCCATATTTTAAAAGTCACAAAACGTCACGACCTGAGTCAATAGACATTATTCGTAAACTCCTAGGAAACATGATGCGAGACTAAACCTTTTGCTTTTTCAGCGCTGTCCTGACACCACCGCTGCTCCACTTCTGGATGCACGTAAAAAAAAAAAAATTAAAAAAAAATCAGACAGTTTACGTCTCTGTTAACTGTGAGTTTCTGCGTTTGAATTTCCACACGACTATAATTAAGGTGGAAACGTCTCGACGCACGTAAACGCTGTCTGTGTCAGTGTTTTATTAACTGTACACGCGTTGTCACATTTCTCAGAAACTCTGCGTTTGTTTGGAATGCGGGGATATCTGGGCCATAAGTTCTGCATTTTAGACCCTCTTTGACTTAATCCAATCTCATGCCCGTCGATGGAGGCTGTTGGAAATCAGATTAAAGGTTTAAGGATTAAAGCAGTTGGTGCAGCAGCAAAAAAAAAAAAAAAAAAAAGTTTGGTCACATCCGCCGAACCTCTGTGGCCACGGCTGCGACCAGTGACCAGACCGACCTGGGGGAGGAGGGGCAGGAGGGTAAGGGGTGGGAGGGGGAGAACGGGAGGGGTAGAACACATCACAAGCATGACGCGTTTTACCAGTGTTTCAGACACGAGTGCAACCATCAGGTTTTGGTGAATTGATTTCTCCCTGACATGGAAGCTGCTGTTGTCTTTTAAAGTGGTTTTAAGCACCGACAAACACAAATCTGTCACACACACACACACACACACACACACACACACAGCTACAGTTGCTGTCTGCAGCTTGGAGCTCAAATCACAAATCAGCACCTGTCTAAACAGAAGAATGTGGAAAAAGGAGAGGATGAATGAAAGGCCAGGGGAGAAGCATTGTTGCACTGTCCCTCCTGGGTCCGAGGACTTGATTGATTACACTGAGGCTGAAGACCCGACTGTCCATTCACAGAAAGTAAACACACACACACACATACACACAAGTGAAGCGTTTTTTTTTTTTTTTTCTCCCACCCCTTTTGGCCTCTTCAACAGTCGGTCCTTACACTGTTTGTTCTGCAAAGTACCTTTCAGCTTCGCTCACATAAATAACACTCGATATTAAATCATTTACTAATGAATGTCTGATTAAAATGCATGGCAGAAGACCAGCATCATGGGACAAACTCCGTCAACTACTGTAACAATCTTGCGGGAAAACCACTGAGCTACTCCTACCTAAAACTAACCACTGAAAATGATTTCCATTATTTACACTATGACAAGAAAATCAGTCAAAATGTCACAAAAATAAAAGAGATTCGGATTATTTACAGTACAGTAAACACGACTGGAAACTACTGTAAATATAAATATAAATTCCTTTTTTCTTTCCTTACATCACCGTAGCCACAGTAGCATTAGCACACAGAGGATCCCACACAGGACAGATAACCGAGGAGGACCACAGAGCAACAACAATAAAAGTGATGGATAAGGTGATTCATCTCTAAGGTGAAGTCTGAAAAACAAATCATCCTGAGAGAGTTTTTTTTTTTTTTTACACTGACAGTTGGTGTTGTCAAACGTTGATAGCGGGAGATGAACGGAACATCCTGTCAAAAAAAAAACTGCAGAATGTCTGAAAAAGAGACTTCGCCAGAGTAACACAGGAAAGATGCAGATCTGACCCAATTCATCAAAGTCGACCAGAGGCCAAGGTCAGTCCGATACTTCACTGGAGATACGATACGTATCACGATACAGGAGCAACAATACCATATAATTGTACTGTACTGGAAAACTATAGGTACGGCAATATATTGAGTTTTTTTAAAAAAACAATTTAATTGTTGCAAAACTGTCAGCATCGCAAACACACAATGCTGTTTGATGCTCAACATCAGGGTTGTGCTGTAGAATATTAATATTGTATTGTGAAACTAAATATCGTGATATTTCAGTGTATTAATAATTTCTTACACTTCTATTCTTCGCCAACAATTACAAAAAAAAATCCTATTCTTCGCCAAAAATTACAAAAAAAACCCCAAATAAAACAAACAACCCTCCAATTCAACCACTTTTTTAATTCTCTGAACAGCATAGATGAAGAAGTAGCCTGGCCTGTTAGCATAGCACACATCAACTGGTTCCATGACGTGCTCCTCCGTGTGTTTTTGGCAATCGTCACAGACACGGCGAAGGAATTATAAGTGACATTTGTTGATGCTAACGCTAACGTAAACAACGTACATCTCTCGGTTTTTTAAAGTGTGGCTGAACGCTGGGTGAAGAGGTTTTAAGATGATCTGGTCCTAGACTAAATGACGCCCATCGACTCTTGACTAAAAAGCTCTTGAAACAGTGAAACGAAACGGCTGTGAAGACATGATAGATAAACAGATGACGGCTCTACGAGTACAGGCTGAGCTAATGCGGTGTTTGAGGAAGAGTCACCCACAACAAGCACACTTTTAAAAAGCCCTTAACTATCAGTTTGACTACAATAACATCCTCTCTCCAACATGAGTCACCGGGCGCCGCAGCATCAGATGCAACAATCCCAGCATTTCCTCCAGGATATCCAGCTGTTACAGCTGTCACTATTTTTAGTCTCAGATGTTTTGGCCTGTTGTTACAGGACCACTGCTGTAGGAGTCTCCCGCACTGGTTGTCTCACCCTCTCGCCGGTGACAAAAGGTGGTTAATAATGGTTTAATTGTCTCAACGACTCAGGTATCAGACAACAAACAACATCACCGCACAATGAGCTCTCTGTGAACTCTCTGGTGGGTTTCCTTTGTGGAGATAAATGTGAGGAAAGTTAGTGTTTTTTTTTTTTAAAGTCTTTTCAACAAGTACTCTCCCAGTACTACCAGTATGAACGACACTGACGTACAGCAGCACAGACCTACACTGTTATACCTGCCAATACAACCAGTACATGAAGAAGAGAATTTAAATCGAATATATTGTTTATCAGACAGAGACACACAGTATGATAAAGTAGTACTACAACATGTACTTCACAGACACAGTGCAACTTATAGTGAGATGTATTCAGAAACTGAGTGACTCATGTAATACTGCGTACCACTCAGACTTGCACAAGTTCCATCACTGATGCACGCCCCATAGTTTGAGAACCTCTGCATAAGGTGATTTATTTAAGTCAGAAAATAAAGGCTGGAAGTTTCAAGTTTTTAACTTTGAAATGATAAACAAAAATATGCACTTTCACGTTTTTACATTTAAGAATAAACCCCCTACTCTAATCCTTGCACGGGATTCACACTTTCACGTTTTTACATTACTCTAATCCTTGCGCAGGATTTTTTTTTTATACACAAAAGTAAAAGTATTTTTGGGGGAAGAAGAGCTGCTGCTGTAATTTTTATAA